TAAAGCTGGTATTAAAAGAAAAGAATAATCTTACCACACTTCCAAATACTCAAAGGCTATTTGACCAGCCTGTGGAAGTCATAGTTCTCCAGTGTCCCCCACATTCCCTACATTCACTTTTTAGTAATTTGGAACTTACAAGTGCTCAAGAAATCCAGAAATGTAGAGGGCTAAAAATTATGTTAAGAAATTAACTATCAGCTATGGGGTTTTTTTTTTTGGTTTTTTGGTATTTTGGGTTTTTTTGGGCCAAGCCACACAGCATGCAGGATATCTTAGTTCCCCGACCAGGGATTGAACCCATGTCCCCTGCAGTGGAAGCACAGACTCTTAACCACTGGACCACCAGGGAAGTCCCTTATGGGGTTCTTTTTTGAGTTTGAAAATTTTATATAGCATATGGTATTCCCAGGAGCCCCTCTCAATGTGAAATTCCCAAATTGGTTTCAGAGATGCACAAAAGTATATATTTCTTTTTATGCCCAGAAGATTATATGCTGACCTAAATTTAAGTGGCAAATATACTTCAGGTCTGTCTTGCATTACAGAAATTAAAAACCTTTGTGAACAGAACAATTTTCATTTAATAATGAAAGGAAAGACCCTTTATTATACCCTCTTTAAATGTTCCTTTCTCAACAGTGATTCATTATCTGCTCAGCCACATATTTATCAGCTGTCACCCATGTATCTTCTCTAAACACTCAGACTCCCCCTCTACACTCAAACTGAATTAACCTTTTCATATCATGTCCACTTAAATTGTTGGCCATCCTACACATTTTCTCAACATAACCACTAGGAACAGCCCATCCCTAATCTACTGTTACTAATTTTATGCCTACCATATATTAAAAAACAACCTATTGCTATCATTTTCCACTATATATTTCATGCTGTAAATTTTCTCGTTTCCTGGGTACTTAGCCCTTTCTTAAGATAATGCTAATCAAATTGAGGTTGGATGCCACAACAGGTTCTGAAACATTTTAGCTAGCAAAAGTAAAGCAACACAAAGGATGTAGGACATATCCTTCCACATTATAAATTCACCTTAGCCTTTGTTTCCTTTGTGCTATTATTTCCCATCTTTTCTGTAGCACTGCTATTTTCAGTCTTTCACTCATTTTGCTCCTCTCACCACTTTCTTTCTCAACTTCCACCTCCACTCTCTTATCGTGGTGTGAAGAGCTTCTGTAGGAAATTGGTAATCGTGTCTTTCAAAGTCTTTAACACTTGGAGCTGACTGCTAAGAGAAATTGACCAGATTCCTGTGATCCTTGTCAGTTTCTCTGATCAGAGAAAATCAGCTATGTTTTCAAAGATATGCAGGTTACTGGAGAAAATGAATTATGCTGGTAGGACTAAGAGACTTAGACTAAAGTCTAAGAAACCATTAAAAAGAAAGCGTTTTGCATAAAGTGGTTAACACTTGTTATTCTGTGAAGACTAATTAGCTCTATTAAAACTGTGGGACGAGTGTCATTCTAATGAAGCAGGAAGAGTTATACATATGAACTGCATGCATTTAAACATGTATACAACAGTTCTTAACTGCAACTGGGAGAAAGCTTCCATCAATAATTTTATGAACCATATCACTATGCATTGGAGGAAAGATGATAACATAAGAACCTGAGGTGAAACTGAAGGCACTCATGTTTGCTACTGTTTAGAGCAAGGCTCAGCAAACTTTTTCTGTTAATTACCCGACAGTAAATATTTTAGGCTTTATGAAACCATACAACTCTCACAACTATTCAGCTCTGCCCTTGTAGCATTAAAGCATCTATAGACAATAGGCAACAAATAAGAGGGGCTACGTTCCAATAGCAGTTTACTTAAAACAAACAAACAAACAACAACAACAAAAAAAGAAACAGGCGGCAGGCCGCCTGTGGACCATAGTCCGCCAACCCCTGGTTTAGAGGATCTGGGAAAGAGCTGTCTGAGTAGTGAGAAAGAGCAAAGCAGACTCTGACATCCACAAGCTGTCCTGGTGCTCACAGGTGTGCTTCGTCAGTCAACTTTTCTGCTCTGCACCAGCAGTACAAGGCCTCGGTCAATTAAGTATCATCTGTTTCCAATTAGAAAATTCTACTGAACCTTCAAGGTCTGGCTCATATGTTACTATGATGGAAGACCTTTCTACCTGGCTGGAGTTTCTATATCACCTTGTTACAGATTTGTTTTAAGATACCTTGCATTCTTGAACCCTACGTGTCTGTATGTCTTACGCTTCCTTAATGCATTAAAAAATTCTTACCTGGCGGAGCGCTGGAGGGAAGGAGGCGGCATAGAAGTTCATCCGCCGGGCCATGACGGGCTGCTCCTGGCCGAGGCGCCGGTCGGCGCGAGCTGCGTCCGGGCCAGGCTCCCGCCGCTACCGCGCGGCCTCATAGGTTTGCTCACCGCGCGGGGCTCGTGGCCGGAGCTGGGGCGCAGCCGCAGCCGCAGCCGCAGCCGCAGCCGCAGCCGCAGCCGCAGCCGCAACCAGCGGGCCCAAGCCTCCGGCGTCCGGGACCAGCCCCTGTACGCCGCCCACCTTGACCCCGCCTGCCGCGCTGCCCTAGGCGGCGGTGGGCGGACGCGTCCCTGCTGTGCCAGCTGGGGGCGCTGTACGAGTCAATCCTGAACTATTGAAAGCACCTGTGACAAGACTGGCCCTCCCTACACTCAGCTCCTACCCACCCGACACTGGCCCTAATGACGACGAGCCTCCTGATACCAGCCTGCCCCTCAACCCGCCACCCTTCACTGTGCCCCAGACGCACTATGCCCATGACCAGTGGTTGCAGGGCACCTTCCACACCAGCCTCTGAAGAGCTGGCCTTGGGGGATGCATCCCTCAGCAAGTAAGCAAGTACTCAGACTATAGTGCCCACTTTCCCCCCTACCACCACACCTCACAGGAGTGTTAAGACCTGGGCCTCTTGATGGCAAAACTGCCACCACCCCCTCTCTCCTGTCTTGAGTTAGCTGGCACTGGGGCGGACACCTGGGTTCCAGCCTTTGCACATGGCACTGGACTTCCAATTCTCCCACATGTGTGCACCCAAGCTTGACCAACCTTCGGCAGCTTTCCGGTTGGGATGAGTTCCTGGTTCCCACCACCTTTTCACCTTTTGCTATCAGCAGCCGCTGGCTCAGGTGCATCCCATCTCTGGTTCCTGGGTTCTACTGCCCTAGACAAGGGCTCCAGGACCCATTCCTGCATCCACCCTCGTGTGGGAGGGCCAAAGCTCCATGCTGGATATTTAAGTTTAGGGGCCAAACTCCTGGGCACATAGGTAAATAAATATTCTCTCAAAAAAAAAAAAAAATTCTTAGAAGCAGTAACTATGTTTTGTACTTTACATTCCCTACAGTGTCAAGTGCTTTTCCTGGCATATGAAAGGCACTTAACAAATAATTATGGGTATTGTATAGGTACCAATACAAAAGTATTCATAACTAGGTCACAAAAGAGATAAAATTTATAAACACTGGTACAACAAATGTAGCTTTTAATCCTCTGCATGGCTTTTTAGCCAACCAAAGTGTTTTGGGACTCCAGAATATATTTGCTCAGTCCAAATAGTGTCATCTGAAAGACTTGATGAGACATGGGTAGCTCATTCAATCTTTCCTTCAGCAAAGTTATTGAGTGCCAGGGCCTTCTTTGTGCCAGGGATTTTTCTAGGCCTTGGGGGTACAGCAGTGAATAAAATAGACAATGTCCTTCCTCTCATGGGTTTTACATTCTAGTGAGGTGACACTGACAATAAAATAAATAGATAAGGTAGAGTAAGACAGCGTACAATGTTTTGGGGCTGCTCATTTATATGGGGAAGTCCCAAAAGACCTCTCCGATAGGGAGACATGTGAGCAAAGATATAAGGGACTCCGGAAGAAAATCATGTGAAAAATCCAGAAAAAAAGTGTATTCTAAACAGAGAAAACAGCAAGTACAGAGACTCTAAGTTAGGAATGGCTTGGCATGCTCAAAAAAAACCCCCCAGGAACGAAGTATGGCTGCGGGAAGAGCAGTAGAAGAATGGTGAGAAATGATCAGACTTAACATATACTTTTGAGGGTACAGTTAACAAAATTTGCTGACGGATTGCATGTAGAATAGGAGATTGAACACGATAAATGATAATGCTAAGGTTTTTGGCATAAGCAACTGAAGTGATGGAATTTTCATTTCTTGAGACAGGAAAGACTTCAGGAGGGATAGGTTACAGGGAAACCAATAGTTCTTTTTTTGGACATGTTAAGTTTGAGATGTCTAGTAGACATCCAAGTGGAAATGTCTTAATAGGTCACTTAATATATCTGTAACCTTAGAGTGAAGATGGAGGAGGAAGGACTGGAGTTTTGAGGGGAGAAGAGAAGCTGTGTGACACTAATCTCAAATCGAAAGAAAGTGAATGCATGCAGGAACACAGCAGGAATGGCAAACACCAGGACTCAGTTGGGATTAGTGGTTATAAAGTGAAACCTCACAGCCTGGTTTTGTGTTTGTCGCCAGCGCAATTAGCTTCCCAGGTGCGGCGCTAGAGTAGGCTAAGAGTTGAATTTAATCAGATTAGAGGTTTTCCACTCAGCCAAAATGGGAGTTGAGCCAAGAGATTTACATATACTAGGGAAAAGGTGATTAAAATAATGGATGATGGAATATAAGCTGAGCAATAACATAAATATGAAGTTTAGGAGATACTAGAAAGAAGCTAGTACCTATGAATTGTGAGCTCTAATTAAGTGAAAGAACTGTTTTGCAGAGAAAGCAATGTAACTATAATCCCATAAACAGAGTTTATATTTCTTCACTCTTGGTCTTACTAGCCAATCCTAGACTCTAAGGAAAACCTAGCATCTGTATCTCTAGCCATTGAAAACTAGATTAACTTGCAAGCCTAGAATAAATGTTCTGTCTATGATCAGCAGACAGAGCTCCATATCACGAACCGCGGCATAAATAGTAACAGAGCAATCAATTTCTGCCCTAGGAACACAGTTCAACTCTGCTCAATGACATCACTTGTACCAACATGTAAATCTTCTAGACTCTTGACTTGCCATGGCTCATCTTTCTGGATTTCATCTGTCATCTGCCTATTATTTTTCTCTTTGATCTTTCTTGCTAAACTGAAGTCCAATTCCATTTTTCTCACTGCAACGCATCCAACGTTACCCAAAAATGTAAAAAGTGTCTTGCATCTTTACGTGTGGCCTGCAAAGCACATGCACTTATCAATATCCTATAGCAGGATATTACGCTCTATTTACTAGAGCTCTAGTAAATAGGGTGACTAGTAAATAAAGTGACTGTCTCTTTATATAGATTCTAACAGAGCAAAAGGTTTGGTAAAGATGAAATAGGTCATTTGTTCCCATATTAATCTCTAAGAGATAACCTAGGCTTACAAAGAAAAGAAGGCAGGGTTTTTTTTGTGTGTTTTCTTTTTTTATTCCCTTAACTCTACATCATCATGTTTATCTAATGTTATTTTAAAATAATAAAGTTGGGACTTCCCTGGTGGCGCAGTGGTTAAGAATCTGCCTGCCAATGCAGGGGACACAGGTTCGAGCCCTGGTCCAGGAAGATCCCATAAGTCGCAGAGCAACTAAGCCCATGCGTCACAACTACTGAGCCTGCACTCTAGAGCCTGCGAGCCACAACTATTGAGCCCATGTGCCACAGCTACTGAAGCCCCTGCACCTAGAGCCCATGCTCCACAACAAGAGAAGCCACCGCAATGAGAAGCCCGCGCACAGCAACGAAGAGTAGCCCCCGCTCGCTGCAACTAGAGAAAGCCCGTGTGCAGCAACACAGACCCAATGCAGCCAAAACTAAATAAATAAATAATTAAAAAAATAATAATAAAATAAAATAATAAAGTCATCTAAATTCTAACTTGGAAAATTATCATGTAAATGATGCTGAGGCTGACTTTTCTCAATGTGCCACAGAAGACATGTTAAGGTCTCTCAAATGTTTGCATTTTTATTGTAGTCCAGAATTATACATTTTTATTAAACTGCCTCTACAAATATTGCTGTCCAAACTTTTAAACAATTTAAACAGCTATACATTTGATGATAATGTTCATTTTGTACTTACTTTTGATGGTTTTATTGTTATCATCTCTCAAAAATCCATCTTTACTTCCTACAGACTCAAATCTCAAAAAGAGAGCATAGTCTTGCCTGTGTGAAGGATCATCCTTTTGACCATTAATGATTAGCCTGTAAAAAATCAAAGTCAGTTATTTCTAAAGCAAAGATGATAACTTTATTATCTCTCAAAAGGGAATTTCAACCCAATACTTAAATCTATGCAAACAGACGAAATTCAGGAATAAAAAGGTGACTGCGATCCATTTTCCAAAATTACTGCACAAGACATTGAGACTTGCCAAAAAGAAGACCATACTCATATTATGTGAAGATCCAAAAAATGACTTCATGATGTTATTTGTAAGATAAGAGGAATTTAAATATACTAAGTTGTCAAGGTCTTGCCTCCAATGCCACTTTCTATGTAAAGGATTTTCTTTCCAGGCAAACTTCATTGCTAGCTAAGGTCTCTGTTCAATTCTCTACAATAGTCCTTCTTACACCAGGGTGAAACTGCAAACCTCTCGTATGTACCTGTCTCCTCCCATGGACTAGGCACATATTGCTAGCCACATTCTTGTTAGAGGAGAACAAGTAATTTGGAGAATAAGATTTGGTAACAGCCAAACCTTGGCAGAGGAGAAAAGCAAAGGAAAGATGAGAAGAAGGGAAGTAGGACCAAAGACAGAGATGGGTTACATCACAGGCTTGTGCACTAGCAATCTTTACTTGCCTTACCTAGAGCTCAGCTTTTTAGCAGCGGATACTCAAACATACACACAAAAGGCTGATGTGAAATATTACATAGGAAACAAAATAGCATAGTGAGAACATCTTTAACTAAGACTACAAATCATATTTATTCCTGTGTGTTCATGCTAGACTCTCAAATAAAATGAACATGTTGCCATGAAAAGAATATTTAGAATTTCAAAGATTGTGTCTTAAACAGACTCTTACAGATTCACCAAAGAAGTTTCCTGCATGAAGAGATGATTAACAAGGCAATTATAGGTTGTACAAATAGAACAATTACTTGATTTACTACCCTCCTTAAATTAAACCACAACTCAATCTTCATCAGACAGTTGGTATCACCAAGTGACCCTGCTGCCACAGAGAGAAGTACATTAAACATTGCCTTCTTACAAACAAGGGTAAGCATACTGACAATTGGATCGGTTACTGTCACACACTGCAACCTCTCAAGTGTAGCTGAAATTGCTACTATATATTTAAAACAGCATTGCCAAATATATTTTCAAACTAAATAATCAAACCAAGTACAGGGAAAAATATACATTGGCAAAAGTCCTAAACGTCTGTATGAGTTTCAGCAAGCAAGTGTGGTTGATCCCAGCAGCTGCTATAGGCTTAATATTCCTGATACTCAGTAAGCATTTGGCCCTGGCAGGAGCACTGCATCCTCTTTGGAGGTATCTAGAACATACTGCATGCCCCTGGCCATCACCTGACTATTTCTGCAGGGACAACAAGGTCTTGGTTGAACAGACTGGTTTGCAGCCAAAATCCAAAGCAACCCAAAACTTGCATCACCTCATTTCCACAAGGTCTGGAGAGATTTTTAATTTAAAATGAAGTATTTAGAAACATTTTTAAATACTGGAAATAATATTAACCATGTTAGAAATATTTAGAACCATAATAAGAAAAACCCAATTTGTGCCTTCTGCCAAGTTTTTTTTTTAATTAAATTTATTTATTTTATTTATCTATTTTTGGCTGTGTTGGGTCTTCGCTGCTGTGCACGGGCTTTCTCTGGTTGCGGCGAGCAGGTGCTACTCTTCATTGTGGTGCGTGGGCTTCGCAATTGCGGTGGCCTCTCCTGTTGCACAGCACGGGCTCTAGGCACGCGGGCTTCAGCAGTTGTGGCACGCGGGCTCAGTAGTTGTGGCTCGCAGGCTCAGCAGCTGTGGCGGCCTCGCTGCTCCGTGGCATGTGGGATTTTCCCGGACCAGGGCTCTAACCCGTGTCCCCTGTATTGGCGGGCAGATTCTCAACCACTGCACCACCAGGGAAGCCCACCAAGTTTTACTATTAAAATCAATCTGATGAATGTATGGTTAATATACTTTCCATTAATAAGTAACATCATATTGGAATTAATTTTTGCTTACTTTGGGCTGAAACAAAATGTAATTAAAATCTTTTGATAAGGCTGTAACCTCCCTTCATTAGGAACATAGGAGATAAATGTGGTAATATCTATGTTCTTTATTTTCCTTAAGTAGGTTAGATTATTTAAAGCAACATCTGTTCTTTGTTGAATATTTGTACCCTGTAATATAAAATCAGAAATAAAAGAATATTCAGGCAAAACACAAAATAAAATATTTTGAGATTAAGTCATAAAATAATTATTGAAATTCCAGAGTCTAGATATAGAGAATATGTATGTTTTAACAGTAACATACATAAATTTGATCAAGGCACCTCATAAAATTAAAAGAACTATTGAAAAATGAATAAGAACAGATATAGATTACTATCAATGTCAGCTGAATTTACTGAACTTTTTTAGGTCACCCTTGGAGACACATGAAATGAAATCATATCTATCTTCATGTTAAAACATATTTAGAAAAATTAAACAGCTTGTTGGTTATTAGTAAGTTGCACTACTTACTTACCAATTCTTCTCCAACAGAATCATCTTGCATTATGGCTACCCAATTTATAGGTTCTGGGCTATTATTGTATAGAAGTGCATGTTCAATCTTTGACATTCCAAAGAAAACAGGACCAAAGCTTATGCCTTCCAACTTTTTATCATTACTCATGTTTAACAATTCAATAATCTGCTCAACAACATGAGCTTTGACATTCAAGAATATGTCTGGACGATCTCGCAAACTCACTCTACAAGATAATGAATTATACATACATATTTTAATTAGAATTCTATATATTTTATTTTTCTCCTAAATGTTTATATAAACAGAAATTTTATAAAATCACATAATAATTAAAATTCAAAGGACTAAGAGCAGTTCCTTTCACGTATGTGCCAGAGACTGTCATGTCCTTCTGTCTGTCTGAATCTGCAAAGTAGAATAGCATATGTGCAACCTAATTCATTGTCTCCAGGAAACAACAAAGATGGAAAACAACTGCATGAATTGACCCCAAAAATCACTTACTGATATTTGCATATCACCAATGATTTACATGGTCACCTGTAGTTCTAGAATTCTGAGATTCTTTTCTAACTCATCCCATTCCCCCAAGTCCAACAGCCAACTTCATCCCCATCCTAATAACCCAATTCCCTACAAAGTAAAGTATCTCAGCAAAACTCCACTTCTTTGCTGAAATGAATATCCTCCCTCATAAAACTTCACTTTCCAGACTAATTCGAATTCACTGTTGCAACTTCTCTCCATCCCGCATTTATCCCTCTCTGGCATAAATGAAATCCTTTTGAATCTCACCCTGTCAGATACCACAGATCACTGACCAATTCACAGCCATCACCAAAGTCATTAACTTTGTATCTCTGTGTATCTCTGTCACATTGGGCACGGTTGATACCATCTCTTTCCACATCTCCCCTCCCTTAGCTTTCTTGACACCATACTTTCATGGCTTTCCTTCTAACTTATTTAGACTCTGCCTTCTCATTCTTCTAAGACTTGGATATTTTGTAAATTCCATGAATAATGCTGTTTCTCTCCTACTTTTTTTATACTCTACCCTCCTCAAAGTTATCTTCAACATTTCATGCTTCATCTACAACTTATGAACTGACAACTCTCAAACCAATATACCTAGACCAAATTTTTTTCTGGGACTCAAGATAAGTAAATACAATAGGCTCCACAGGATTCTGCAAAGCAAATCAATTCCAGCATTCCAAAACAGAACTCAAGATCTTCTCTCACAGACCTGAACCTCCTCTTACCTTCCCTTTCTATAACCAGTCACTAAATGTAGTCAAATCTACCTCCATAACGTATCTCCAATCTGCACACTTCTCTCCCTCCATACTCCTAATTTGTACCTTAAATGAAGCCTTCATTATTTCTCTTCTGCTTTACTGTTAGAATTTCTAGTCAGGCTATCCACTCCACATCTGTACTCCTCGATTTTGTACACTGCTATCAACATGACCTTTCTAAAAAGCAAACTAATCAAGACACTCCCATCTTAAAACCTTCCTGAGATTCCACAGCCTTTACAATAGAACCTAAGCTCCTATCAGGGCTCACAACTGTTTCTCAAACATTTTTTTAATCGTGACCTTCAGTTAGAAATGCATTTTACATTACAATGCAGGACACATACACATACACACACACACACACACACACACACACAAAACAAATTTTACAAAACGCCACTTGCCCTTACCATGTGAGATGCATTCTGATGTTTTCTATTTCATTGTTTTAATACTGGTGGTGACCCATTATAGTGACTGCACATTCTGCTAATGAACTGAGACATATAGCATTAAAAAATGCTGTCCTATGAGGTCCTTAACTGGACCCTGCACCATTCTGTTTTTCTGGTCTCATCTCTCATCACTCCTCACCTCCATCTCTTTGCCTCAGATCTCTTGATGTGTAACACTGTCTATTAACCTGTAGGAATTCAAGTCTTCTACTTGCACTGCCTGAAATCACTCATTTAACCCACTCTCATCACCAATACCCACCTCCCCTGCACACAGACACACATACATACACACACACACTCAGCCCAAATCACACCACTGCTCTTTGCCTGGCTAATTTCTACTCAACCACAGGTGTTTGGTTCAACTATCACCTCCTTAGTGGAGCTCTTTCTTGATCCACTCCCTGACTCCAACAAAATCCAAACTAGGAGCTCCTGTTAGGTGTACCCATATGCCATTCTCTGGTTCTTCCCATTTTTCAGTCCCTAGTGCTTGGCAAATAGTAGATACTCAATAAATGAATGCTGACTGAAAGAAGAAGCTAACATACATTCAAATACAACAGGCATATATGAAAAGTGAAACAGGAAAGTATTAAGCACTACACTAGAATTAAGAACCATAGTATATACTCACTTTGCCACTTCATTTACAATTATGGGCCAGTCTGCACAGAAATCCACTTTAATAACCATTGATGACTTGGGCTGCACAATACCAATGGTTGGAAAAGTGACAATGGGTAACTGGCCCTGGTATTCTGTTTTAAACATACCTAAGGAGAACAAGAGCAGATGGTTTACATTTGGATCCTTATAATGTTAATGTTCACACTCTTAGTAGAGGACAGAGACACATTACAGAGTTTATGGTCTATTGTGGACCAAGAATCACAGCTTTGATTGTAAGTCCTGTCTCTAGGGTCATCCAATAAGTGTGAGCCTCGTGTTAGGACTCAACCCTCATCAATAGCTAAAATTTTCTATCTGCTTACTGTGTTCAGACACTTATGCTAAGAGCTGTGCATATGTTATTCTATTTAGTCCTCATAATGAAATCTATGATTCTGGCTCAATCATTACCTCTATTTTATAAATAAGGAAACAGACACTTAGAAAGGTTGAGTAACTTGTCCAAAAATACACAACTGTTATGATAGATTAGATCATCAACTCCAATTCTTTAACCTTCTCTGCATCCCCACTGTTACCCTCCCGTGGACTAAGTATGTTTTCCTACCCCTTGACGGGGCCTGATCACGTGATTTACTTTGGCAAATAGCATGGGAGTAGAAGTGACAACATGTCAGCTTCATCCCCAGATGTTCTCTTGCTCTTCTACCATGGAAAGTGTTTCTTTTAAGAAACTGCTGTCCCGTTGGCCTGTGCCTCAGCATTGGCGAATGTGAAGCAGAGCCACCCAGCTGACTCAGAGACATGCAGTGAGTAACAGATCAGCCCCAGCTGCCTCAGCTTGAAGCAGAGTCATGCAGCTTAGATTAGTCAAATTCCAGCTAATCTGCATAAAAATGAGAAACTAAAAAAATAATTATTTTTTTAAGATATAGAATTACGGAGTGGTTTGTTACATAGCAATAGTTGACTACTACAGCTAGTAACTAACTAATAGAGCTGGGATTTTCACTTGGATGTTTCTGACCACAGGGCTCACACTTCTAGCCACTACCACTACTCTATAAACGAATTAATGCAGTTCACATACGGAAAGGGTGAAAGAAATGGGTTTCTAGACTCAAATAGCATATGAGGAGGCCACAAAAATTTCTTGTTCTGAAAGCAGAAATGGTCCATAATTTATGGTAATGTTTGGTGCCTATCTTAGAGCATGCAGGTGAGATCAGATACTATCTCTTTTTCATCGTTGTGGTCCTGGCACCCCACATGGTGCCTAGCACCAAGCAGTGTTCAAAATGTCCAATAAATGGGAGGTAACCAGTCATGAGTTTCTTTGATATCATTATACAATATTAACACAAATGAGCATGCTGCCAACATAAACAACTTTGAAAATTCCTAATTTACCAGTTTTAAATCACATTTGATGACATTTTCCAAAATTATTCAGTTAACTTAGGAGAATGTAATATTAGCGTAATAAAAGTACTGAAAATATAAAAGATAATAAAACTTTAGGTTCAGAGATGACCAGATGAAAAAGGCAAACAGTAACAAAATTTGTTAATCCAATCATTTTTAGAGACTTGCTAATGACATAATATTTAAGGCTTATTTTTTTCTGTCATAATATAAAACAAAACTGTAAAATTATATCCATTATGAATAAATATTATTGACTCAATTCTCCAGGAAAAGAAAACTATATGAGTTCAGTTAAGTCTGAGTCAGTGAAATAGTTTCTATACTGTAACCACTTTTCTGTAGTTTGACAAAAGAGTTTTCTGTAGTTTGACAAAAGAGTTTTAAGTGAATGGTTCAAAAGCTTATTCAGGAACAACCCCTAACAAAAGAACATTGTTCAATCTTTTAAATATATTAAAACAGTGAGCTCACAAACATTACTGTGTCTTATGTAACTTTAATATCATTAGTAATAATGAAATATTTGACTGTTTTTTTAATTGCTCACAACAGGAGCAAGAACATCATCCTAGGAGAAGGGTGTCATTGAAGAATTTTTTGTCATCAAATTTTCATTTCTTTTCAGATGTGAAACTGGCTGATGTGTGGAGAATGAACTAGAAGGAGATAAGAGGTGACTCCAGACAAATAATTTAGGTTGATGTAATTATAAGGGAAGAGAAGATTATGGACTGTTGTAAAAAAGTGACAGTGAGACAGAGAAAAGTAGGATTACTCACACTATAAGGAAGTGAACAGACAGGATTTAATAGTTGACTGAGTAAGGGGGTAGAGGGTGAAAAGGAGGGAGGTGTCAAGGATTTGCCAAATTTCTGACTTGGCCATATACATGGTGGTGACATTCAATGAAAAACAGAAAAGGAGAAGTTTGGGGGAGACATTGAGGAGTTTAGTTTTAGACGTGTTAACTCTGAAAAACCTGAAGGAAATGCAAAGTCTTGTACAGACTTCAGTGAAGTAACAGGAATGGAAGTGATTGCCTAGGGAGAGCAGGGTGACTGAGGAAACATGAGGGTCTATGACAAATCCTAAGGAACACTCACTTCTAATGTACTGAAAAAAGGGACAGCAGTCCACAAAAGAGAATTAAGGAGGAGGGAGAAGAAGAATAATTCTAACATCAATAATGAATATTTACTGAACACTTAATATATGTCAGAGAGTGTGCTAAGCATTTTATTAATCATCACCACAATTATAGGAGGAAGGCGCTATGTTTATCTTTAATGTATAAGGGAGGCAATGAATGTTCGGGAAGTGTAAATTCCTTGTCTGGGGCCTCCCAGCCAGTTAATATTGTAACCAAGATTTGGGACCTGGAACACCTCGCTCCAGGTCAAATCAGTTAAATGAAGGCTTACTGAATGCCTGGTATATGCCTAACATTGTGTTATGCATGAAAAGTATGTTGAGATTTCATGACATCAGTTTCCATGAAAACAAAACAAAAAATGCATTGACAGTAAGTAGTGGGTGCTTCTCTGGGTAGTTAGACAGGATTCTGAGGACCACTCCTGGGTCTGGTCCAATTTAGCAAATTTTCTGGTTTACAGATGATGCCAGGCTTTTCTAGACAGTGATGTAGAGAGATGATGCTGATGATCAGGGGAAGGAGGACAGCAGACATTAAGAGCAAGAGAAAGGTCATATATTTGGGGCAAAATCACCCCCCAAAACCTAAAGGAGTCCTAAGGTAGCTGTTCAAACCCAGAAATGGTATGTAAAGATCACACTAGAGACTTTAAAGACTATTCTACATCATAACACAGTAGTAGAAAAAGTACCCAAAGATTCAAGAGGGGAAGAGGGAAATGTGTGCAATTCAAGGCATGCTAAAATAATGTTTTTTCAATCTTCAATGATAAAAACTGAGAAACAATAAAGACATAAAAGAGAACATGGAGTTCCCCAGCTCACAAAACACTAATATTAGAAACATCTTAAAGATTAAACCATGTCTTTTCAAGATGAAAAGACAAGCACTACTTTGTAAATTTAGGAAACGTTCTTATAAGGGGCAAGACAACAAAATGTATTCAACAACTTTCAGCTAAATCTAGGGATGGTTACTCCATAATAGACTATTAAAATAAAACATCATGAAGTTGTTACATAAACTTTGGCTTCTATAAAACTGAAGATAATAACCTTAGTGACACTACCAGAGAGAGAAAACAAAGCTATACAAATCATGAATCTGCTGAATGTGGCTTTTTAATGTCTTCTTAAGTACACATATACGTTTGTAAACTCTTGATCTTTGACTCTAAAACTATAAAATATTTGTCATATAAAATCCTTTTTGAAAATTTTATTAAAATCATCTTTGGTTGCTGAATCTATTTTCTGCCTAAGTGTTTTTCTTCATGAAAATGCATTATAATTCTCATGAATATTTATATATTGTGCTTGTGGGTAATGAGGACTTTATGACACTTTACGGGCACTTGCTACTGTGAATATAAAACATACTATCAATTTTGGTAAGGGTGGAAAAAATAATATCATTCAACTCCAAAAATGAGGGACAAAGTCAGCACTAAGAAAATGTGTTTCACTGATAACAATTTGTTTCAGTTAGTAAGGTAAGAGTAATTAACATTTCATAATACTCAATTATAATTTACCAATATAGTATTAACTACAAATACTATGCACACACAAAATATTAATACAATACTAAAAGTCAATGTGGATTACTTTTCCTAAAATGTAGGGACTCAGGTCCACACATATACTTTTATTAAGTAAAATAATATTAAATATTCAATTAAAATTATGTATTTTTTACTTATAGAGAGTTTTTATAAGTAATAAAACTGTACAATTTGGTGAGATTTTAGAATAAAGAGAGGATATGATCAAAACTTTAAAGGTTTTGGAATGGACAACAGTTAAGAGACATTTTGGAAAGTAAAAGAATACAAATAAAATTCTTTCAATTACATATCACTGCTCTATAACCAGACAATCTAAAGGACCATACAGCCTATAGTCAATCACCATAAGAGAGTTCATCCTTAACACTGGAGTCAGCCCACAAATGAGCCTAATATTCCACAGTCTGACAGGCATCAGAAATTCAGCCATTTAAAAACCAAAGCATGGAAAGTGAAATGAATAACATTCAGTGAGGAACAACTATCAGTTTTATTTGTTCATATCCCAGAAGAAATCAGTAAAGTGACAGACTGCCTTTGTCTTAATAATTCCCACTGCTCATTCAAGCAACCCCAAAGAACGTCCTCACTTACTGTAAAACGGGTTTGGATTTAAGACCTGTTTTATGTATCCAACAAGCAGTCTCAGAGAGAAATGCCCTCCCTGTCTGGAGCTAGTCCTCTTCTCAGCTTGGGGAAAATGTGAGTCTTATCATCCCAGATGCTGACCATCCAATCAAGTGAATGAAAGGGTAAGTGATTTTATGCCTACAGTATATCATCAATGAAGAGTGTGCATACACACATGCATGTGCACACACACAGACACAGGCACACTTATCCCTTTATGGAAACTCTTAGGTCACAGTAAGAATGTCTAGAAATAATCCAGTATGGAGAAGAGAGAAGCACTTTTCCTTTCAACAAAATGTTAGTAAGAGCCTTCTAGGGATCATCATGTGAATTCAAAGTTGAATATGATCGAGAAAAAGAACAAATATTTACTGAGTGCTTGTGATAAGTCAAGTACCATATTACAACCTTAAGTACATACATAATTAACCACAGTATATTTTATTAGCCAGTTTATAAATGAGGAATCTGAAGTTCAATGTCCTTAAAGATACTTGCCCCAGATCACACAGCTAGTAAGGCACTGTGTCCTGATTCTATCTCTGGAAAGCTCTAAGGACTATGTCACTTCCACGACACCACCTTGCCTTCTATCCTCAGGGAGATCATCAGTCATCTGAGAGTCAGGTTGTATTAATAAGAATCATAAGGATGTAGCTTCATCTTTCCTGATATTACCTATCAGTCTTTTACAGTCATCCTACTGAAGGACCTTCAGTTTTGAGCCTTTTCAAATAACATAATTCTTCTGGAGGGGTAGGGTGAATCAGAGAATCCATTAATTGCAGAAGGTATATATTTCAAACAGTACCAATTTTCTTCCAAAAGTCTAAGTTAATTTATATGACGGAAAGTATTTACCTGGTACTCTGCCATGATTAATGATATTAATCTCTTTACAATATACTTTACTATTGGCAACCAATGTCCCAAAATTAACTTCTGACTCAATTTCCAGTTGACAGGATAGAATCAACCTAGAAGAGGAGAAAAGAGGATGATATGATGAATTTTTTTTTCTTTTTTTTTTTATGGTATGCGGGCCTCTCACTGTTGTGGCCTCTCCCATTGCGGAGCACAGGCTCCGGACGCGCAGGCTCAGCGGCCATGGCTCACGGGCCCAGCCGCTCCGCGGCATGTGGGATCTTCCCAGACCGGGGCACGAACCCGTGTCCCCTGCATCGGCAGGCGGACTCTCAACCACTGCCCCACCAGGGAAGCCCCATATGATGAATTTTAACAACTATAACCTCATGGTCAAATCCACAGGGGGACATATATAGATATTTTTACCTTAACTCCTAAAAAGATATTTCAGTTTCCTTATAGGTCTGCTGGTGGCACATCTGTCAGTAAAACAAACTGTAAAATAAAGACACGAAAAAAAGATAATGAGACACATTTTAAATAAAGAAATCAGACTTTATGCATAAGTACATGGTATGCCTTCCCAAGTACTCACCTTGAGAGGTTACCCACACATCTCAATATTTTTGTAGCTCAAAATATATTTGGAACTCTGTTTTGGAATCTCCTACTAAGCCTATAATACGTTCTTTTGCCCCCCCGCGACCCCAAAAGGGTGCAAGTTATCTGAACAAAGTAAACTAGTTTGGATGGTCCAAATCTGATGAAATAAAAGGAGCTATGATACTATAAAATATCACTTGGGGACTAAAACAAGGCCTAAGAACAAAAGGATACAATTGATTTTCCATGTGTGTCGCCAATTTAAAGGACTCACTGTAGCGTATCTGTAGCATATGTTTTCATAAGCATTTAAAAAATCCATTCTAATCCTAAATATACATCTCATAATGATATATATATACATATATATTATATCTGGATAATAATTTATAGTTTATAAAGCACCATTAAGTATATTATCCTGTTTGATATTAACAAATTTCCTGAAAGGTAGGTAAATATTACGGCTCCTAGGTTACAGATGAAAAGCCAAAGACTTAAAAAGCTTAAATGATTTATCTAAGGAATTATCTGGATATAACGTTGGGGAACTTAAACTTGAATCCATTTTGTTAGACTTCAAGTACATTACCTTAGAAACCTAACAACGATAACAACAGCATCAGTAATAAATATAGTAATAACTAATCTTTATTGAGTCCTAAGATTATGTGCCAGACACATGAATTAAGTAATTTACTCCACTTAGGATACAACCTCCAAAGCATAAATGCATACATACATACAATCATATATACATACAAACACACTAAAATTCATAAATAAAAATACCTGAACAAAACATTTACAAATACTGCCTATACATTGGTGGTCTGGGCCTTCTTTCTGGGATCTGTGTTTATATGTGTTTGTGTATTACTGGATAGGTACAGACATTCCAGAGATCAGCCAGGAATGTCCTACTTATGCTGCATAGTCTAAGAAATACCCATGTTCTTCTCATAGAGATTGTAATTTTGTGACAGGAAAAGATCAATGACCTTGTACATCTCCTTACAATATATTTATATGTGTATACATAATTGCATTAATAGTTTACAGGATCTAAAAGAGGAACCAGTTACACAAACAATATAAGATGTGAAGCTGAACGTTTTTTCAAACTTTTTCTCTAGCTAGATGTGGAAAAGTATCTTAAGAAGAATTTCTTAAGAATCTTCACACATACACACACATATACATGTACATACATGCATACACACATATATGGTTTAACCTTAGCAGTAAGGGTGTGGTAAAATGGCAATATATAACAGTTTCTCTGGCTTTCCTACTGGTTTCTCTTCTCCTTGTATAAAAAACATTTTCTGGCCCCATATGCACCACAACACGTCAAGACAGTTGACCTCTGAGGACAATAAAGTATCTAGCCACCTATCAGAAGAAGTGCCTCTTGACTCCAAATGCCTTCTGCAAGATGAGTCACCAGTTGAACCCTGACTAAGGATCAGAGTTGAAGGAAGTTCTGGAGAGGGGAATGACCAACACACTCATGCCAAGTACCAGTGGTCTCCAAACTCGGGGATGTTCTGATAGCTAAATAAATACCTTCCAATGATGCAAAGGAGTAGCTTATTCCTTTCCTAACATGTGTCAGTTGTTTGATTCCTATGCAGAATGGGATGTTGTGAGAAAGCAGAACTTCTCAACAACACTGAGAACCCAAATAATTGCACATCTAAATTTAGTTTATGAAAATAAAAAAATGCAAGGGAAATTATAAAAAGACTTATATCTAATACCAATATTAATATTAAATATTAATATTCTAATATTAATTCTGCTGGTGCCGGATAAACAGAGACAAAAGAATAACACCTATGGAATCATATTTTGCTGGGGAAAAGAAGGATCATGCATGTATGTATGTGAAAAAAAACACAAAAATTTTAACAGCAGCTCTAACGGGTAATTTTATAATGAACAGAACTATACTTATTTCAATATAAAATGAAAAGCACAATGTCCTGGTCAAATAAATTATTTGTATTAAAAAAAATTATTTGTATTAAAGTTAATCTGCAAACCAGTTACTTAGTTCTGTATTATATTCATTATATCAGTCCATATTTTTCAGCCAATCTCAAAAAAACACCATTTTGATTTTTTGAAGCCAAACATCTGCATTATTTAAAATTCTGTGAAGTAAATATGACAATAATTTAAAATTAAATTAAAATGTGACTATGGGTTCACAATAATTCATTTAGGAATACATCCATCATAAAAACAGAAAGTAGAAGGGTGGTTACCAGAGGCTGGAGGGTAGGAGAATTGGAGAGATACTGTTTAAGGGTACAAACTGGGAACTAGTAGATAAATAAGTCCCAGAGAGCTAACATACAGCATAGTGATCATAGGCAACAAAAATGTATTATAAACTTCAAAGTTGCTAACAGACTAGATCTTAATTGTTCCCACCCCAGGAAAGAAATGATGACTATGTAATGTGATACTGCTGTTAGCCAACCCTATCGTAGTAATATATTGCAATATATAAATGTATCACATCAACATGTACACCTTCAACTTACACAATGTTATATGTCAATTGTATTTCAATTAAAAAAAATAACACAGGATGAGAAGGAACAATCATTGAAGAGGTGTAGTAGCAAGGAAATCAAGAGAATAAAGTGGCCCACAAAGGCAGTAATGGTTAATTGTGTCTAATGCTTCTGAGAAATGGAGTAAGATAAAGGCAAAGGAGGTACCAACAGACTGGCAATATGCAAGAGCTACTTCACTGGAAAGCTGGGGAAAACAGCCCCTCTGGAGTTTGCTGGAGTGAGAATGGAAAGTAAGATTGTAGAGACAGCAAAAACAGCACTCTTTAATAAATCTTGCTATCAAAAGGTACAGAAAATATGGTGGAAATAAAATAGGGTGCGAGTTCAAGGGGAAAAAAAGAAAACATGCAATTGTTGGACATTTTTTAATGATTTTAATAAAAAAATAATGGAAAACTAGTCTTCTATTTGTTTTGAACACTACAATTTGCTAAAAATTTGTTCTTTAAGTTCAGTTGTAAGGAAACTGTAGATACAAAAAGCCCTATTAGTCAAAGAAAATACAAAATATTACTATGACCCTTAATATTTGAAGAGTGCTCAAAATATTAGCATGAAATATGAAGAATACATACCCAATTAGAGGGATCTCTATTGTTTTATTTCCTATTGAAATAAGAAGTTGGTCAAAAGTGTCTTCATTCTTATCAGGATGATATTCCACCATAGCTGTCGTCTGAAGGCCAGAAGCAAGTGCTTTAATCCAGATTGGTCAAAATCAGTTTGAACTTCAGTGGGAGGAAAAAAAAATCAAATTATACATCTTAAGTCCTAATAAGAAAATAGTATGAGCAACTGTAGTTAGGAGTATACATTGTTTCAAGAGATATATCAAGACATAGGCAATATTCCTGCCCTAAAGGCAAAGACTTAATGACCATATCTATACCTATCAGATTCTAGATGCTTCAGATATGCTTTTAATGGTACACAAACTGAAACTGAAAATGCAGTCAGTCAAGAAATATGTAAATGCTTGTGGGCTCCTTTAGAAGTATGAGGTACTAGAATACAGAAAAAAAGGGAAGAGCAATCTAATGAAAATGTTACTCAGTCTAAATACATACACAATATAAACATGCACACATACATACAATCATAAATACATACATCATTTTATATACTTTCTGCATAAGGACTTGGACTTCATAACTTGGAGGAAATATAAAAAGGAATAGACCAATGAGGAAAAAGAACTTTTGTTCTTGAAAAACATTTGCTAGACTCCAGGAAAAATCTGAAGGGGGAAGAGAAGAACTGCTTTGTGTTGAGTACGTCTGGTAGGTAAAGCATTCGATGTCTATTAGCTCACTTAATACACTTCTACAGCCCTGTAAGGTTGATATTAAGGATCCCAGTGTAGAGATGAGAAACTGGGACCTGTAGGTGCAATTAATACCTAAGGTCACTGTGTCAGTGAGGACTCAAAACACACATCTGTCTGACTCTAAAACTAAGCTCTTTCCCCACAACTAGAAAGAATCTCCTGAGTATATAATCTCTTTAAAGAAGCAGACTATATACCCCTTGAAAATTAAATAATGTAAGCCAGGGACTAATCAAGTGTCATATGAGTGATGCAGACATAAGTATCATGAAAATCCATGAGAGAACATGATTACTGTGGGCTAAGAAGGAGTACACTCAACCCACGCTTAGAGGATGGATGTAAAAGGTAGAGAAGAAGCAAGAAAGGTGCTCCCTATGGAGGCGGGAATATCTCAGGCACACGCAGAGAAAAGAATAAGCAAAATAATCTCTCAGCAGGCAGCTAAGAAGCTAGCCTTGCTGGGCAAAGAGCTTCCATGAGTAACAATGGAGGTCAAGTTGAAATTAATTATTCAGGGCTTTTAATGTCAGACTGAGTCTAAGCAGGGCTTTCCAGCAATGAGAGCTACAGAGAACTGGAGTGATGTGTTGATACCACTGGTCTGAAAGCATCATACTTCCAGCAAACAATGATTCTGACATCTCATAACTACCACAGCCCAACTCTCAACCCCAATCCATCACCAAACAGTAAGAAAACAAGGGATAGATTATTCCCCACATAGGTCTTTGGGTGCTGGAAGTCCACATAACAGGTTTGACCGTCTTCCTTTAAATAAGAAGGGCAACTAGTACTTCAGCAGCATGTGCCCAAACCACAAGTTTCTCAGCACTCTGAGTGGTCTGCAAAGGTGTGTAAGGCACCACCCCTTCTCTTAGGAGCTTATGAACTGACCATTGAGGTGAAAGTAACAGTTACCAGGAGCCATCTGGATTCAAGTCCAAGCTATAATGAATGTCTGTAAATGCAATTAGTATCCAGTAGGGGAGAAATAATTTGGAGATAATATAAGAGAAGACTTGTTTCAGAAAATGAGAACTCACTTTGACCCTAAAAGATGGGTGGGATTTGGAAGGCGGTGATTCTTGCAGGAGGAAGGAATGAAAACATGGGTCAAAAGAAAAGGAAGTCTGACCCATGGGGGTAAGAGGACGATTACAAGACTGGCCTGACAGAACCAAAGACCACACAAGTCAGCAAAACACTGAAGATAAAGACTGTGTCTTAATTTTCTAACAGCAACCCACAGTAGGTGGCATTAGCACTGCATATGGCACATAGTGGGTACTCAATACATAGGCAAGGCAGGATCTTGGAAAACGGGGTGGAAAACAAGCACTGCTGTGTGTTAAGAGAATTATTTCCTAAATAATTACAATAGTGATGATGACAATGCCCTTTACGTAGCACCCTGTTTTTATTTTCTCTTTCTTCCTCCAAGACAGTTAATATACTTTTTGATAATCTATCCCTTCCCTAATTCCCTTTATGCCTGTGAAGGACCAGGAGTGCATATCATGATCTTGCAACAGATATTGAACTCATGGCCTTGGCCTCTAACTAGTAAACCTGTCTGGCCATTCTCTTGCCAATGTCAAGACCTGTGGTCTAAATAAAAACCACAGTAAAACTAATTATATTATTTTTCTTCTGACTGCATAAAAACCACCCATCCAAGTGCCTCCTGGACATCCATAAACTAGTGTTTGCCCACATCTGGGATCTGCTTCCAGCCTGAGTTTTAAAAGAAAATATTTTCAGATACACATTCAATTGTTCAATAAATATGTAGTGAGTTAATGAAATAATAAACTTTTCCCCGAATTTTACAGTGTTTGGAGTAATCAGGTACTTCTTGATTTAAAGAGTAGTTAATAGTCCCTGTGATGTACACTTTTATTACAAAATAAACACATCACTATTGTTAAAACATGTACACACAAAAATCAATAAAGAATGATTCCGGGGGGACCTTGAAGATGGCGGAAGAGTAAGACGCGGAGATCACCTTCCTCCCCACAGATACACCAGAAATGCATCTACATGTGGAACAACTCCTACAGAACCACCACTGAATGCTGGCAGAAGACCTCAGACCTCCCAAAAGGCAGAAACTCCCCACGTACCTGGGTAGGGCAAAAGAAAAAACAGAGACAAAAGAATAGGGACGGCACCTGCACCAGTGGGAGGGAGCTGTGAAGGAGGAAAAGTTTCCACACACTAGGAAGCCCCTTCGCGGGCGGAGACTGCGGGAGGCGGAGGGGGGAGCTTCGAAGCCGCGGAGGAGTGCACAGCAACGGGTGCGGAGGGCAAAGCGGGGAGATTCCCGCACAGAGGATCGGTGCCGACCGGCACTCACCAGCCCGAGAGGCTTGTCTGCTCACCCGCCGGGACGGGCGGGGCTGCGAGCTGAGGGTCTGAGGCTCGGGTTTCGGTTTCGGATGGAGCGCAGGGAGAGGACTGGGGTTGGCGGCTTGAACATAGCCTGAAGGGGTTAGTGCACCACAGCGAGCCGGAAGGGAGTCCGGGGAAAAGCCTGCACCTGCCGAAGAGGCAAGAGACTTTTTCTTCCCTCTTTGTTTCCTGGTGCGTGAGGAGAGGGGTTTAAGAACGCTGCTTAAAGGAACTCCAGAGACGGGCGCGAACCGCGGCTAAAAGCGTGAACCCCAGAGACGGGCGGGAGACGCTAAGGCTGCTGCTGCCGCCACCAAGGGGCCTGTGTGCGAGCACAGGTCACTATCCACACCCCTCTTCCGCGGAGCCTGTGTAGCCCGCCACTGCCAGGTTCCCGAGATCCAGGGACAACTTCCCCGGGAGAACGCACGGCGGGCCTCAGGTTGGTGCAAAGTCAGGCCGGACTTTGCCGCCGCAGGCCCGCCCCGCACTCCGTGCCCCTCCCTCCCGGCCGGCCTGACTGCGCCAGAACCCCTGAATCAGCGGCTCCTTCAACCCCGTCCTGTCTGAGCAAAAAACAGACACCCTCCAGCGACCTACACTTAGAGGCAGGGCCAAATCCAAAGCTGAGCCCCTGCGAGCTGTGAGAACAAAGAAGAGAAAGGGAAATCTCTCCCAGCAGCCTCAGAAGCAGCGGATTAAAGCTCCACAATCAACTTGATATACCCTGCATCTGTGGAATACCTGAATAGACAACCAATCATCCCAAATTAAGGAAGTGGACTTTAGAAGCAAGATCTATGATTTTTTTTCCCTTTTCCTCTTTGTGTGAATGTGTATGTGTATGCTTCTGTGTGAGATCTTGTCTGTATAGTCTTGCTTCCACCATTTGTCCTAGGGTTCTATCCGTCCATGGTTTTTTTAAAAAATTTTTTTCTTAATAATCAATTTTAATTTTAATAACGTTATTATACTTTAACTTCGTTCTTTCTTTCTTTCCTTCCTTCCTTCCCTCCTTTAGACAACGAATCATCACAAATTGAGGAGGTGGTCTCTGACAGCAAGATTTATGATTTTTCCCCCTTTACCTCTTTTTGTGAGGGTGTATGTGTACGCTTCTGTGTAAGACTTTGTCTGTATAGCTTTGCTTCCAACATTTGTCCTAAGGTTCTATCCGTCCCTTTTTTTTTCTAAATAAGAATTTTTTAATTCAATAACTTTATTATACTTTATTTTATGTTTACTGTATCTTCTTTCTTTCTGTCTTTTTTCCTTCTTTCCCTCCTTCCTCCCTCCCTCCCTCCTTTCTTTCCTTCTTGCCTTCTTTCCTTCTTTGCTTCTTTCTTTCTTCCTTCCTTCCTTCCTTCTCTCCTTTCCTTCTTTCTTTCCTCATACTTCTACTAATTCCCTCTACTTTTTCTCCCTTTTATTCTGAGCCATGTGGATGAAAGGCTCCCGGTGCTCCAGCCAGGAGTCAGGGCTCTGCCTCTGAGGTAGGAGAGCCAACTTCAGGACACTGGTCCACAAGAGACCTCCCAGCTCCACATAATATCAAACGGCGAAAATCTCCCAGAGACCTCCATCTTAACACCAGCACCCAGCTTCACTCAACGACCAGCAAGCCACAGTGCTGGACAACCTATGCCAAACAACTAGCAAAACAGGAACACAACCACACCCATTAGCAGAGAGGCTGCCTAAAATCATAATAAGGCCACAGACACCCCAAAACACACCACCAAACGTGAACCTGCCCACTACAGAGACAAGATCCAGCCTCATCCACCACAACACAGGCACTAGTCCCCTCCACCAGGAAGCCTACACAACCCACTGAACCAACCTTAGCCACTGGAGACAGACATCAAAAACAGTAGGAACTATGAACCTGCAGTCTGCAAAAAGGAGACCCCAAACACAGTAAGATAAGCAAAATGAGAAGACAGAAAAACACACAGCAGATAAAGGAGCAAGATAAAAATGCACCAGACCTAACAAATGCAGAGGAAA